AAAAAAAAAAGAAAAGAAATGTTATGTTATTTTTTGGGGCTGGAGAGATGGCTCAGAGGTTAAGAGCACTGACTGCTCTTCCAGAGGTCCTAAGTTCAATTCCCAGCAACCACATGGTGGCTCACAGCCATCTATAATGAGATTTGGTGTCCTCTTCTGTCATGCAGACAGACGAGGAGGCTGGACAGACAGGGAGGCAGGATGTTGTATTCATAATAAATAAATAAATCTTTTAAAAAATGTTATTTTATGTATTTATTCCAAATGGGGGTGAGGCACATACCTGCCACTGCATACATGTGGAAGTCCCAAGACAACCTTCAGGAGTTAGTTCTCTCCTTCCATCATGTGGGTCCCAGGGACTGAAATCAAGTCATCAAGGCTTGGTGGTTCCTTTACCTGCTGAGCTATCTTGCCATCCCAAGGATACTGATTTTTTTTTTTTTAATTTTTCAAGACAGGGTTTTTCTGTGCAGCTCTGTCAGTCCTGGAACTCAATCTGTAGGTCAGGCTGGCCTCAAACTCACCGAGATCTGCCTGCCTCTGCCTTCTGAGTGTTGGGATTAAAGGTGTACGCCACCACTGCCTGGTCTGCTTTGCTTTCTTAATTTTATTCAATCTATTTGGGTTTTAAAATTGTTTTAATTTTTAAGGACTTTCTAAAATACTATTTTTATTAATTTATGTGTATGGGTGTTTCATCTGTATATACATCTGTGGACCTTGCATGTTCAGGGTCCGAGGAGGTCAGAAGAGGCCATTAGATTCTCTTGAACTGGAGATACAAATAGCTGTGAGCCGTCATGTTCGTGTTGGGATTTGAACCTGGGTCCTCCAGAGTAGCAGGCAGTGCTCTTTTGAGTCACTTCTCTCTTTCGTTCTTTTTTTTTTTTTTTTTGGTTTTTCGAGACAGGGTTTCTCTGTGGCTTTGGAGGCTATCCTGGAACTAGCTCTTGTAGACCAGGCTGGCCTCGAACTTCCAGAGATCCACCTGCCTCTGCCTCCCGAGTGCTGGGATTAAAGGCGTGCGCCACCAACGCCCGGCTTTTGTCTCTTTCTTTAAGAGATTGCTCTTTTTATTTGTTTTTTGTTTTTCAAGACAGGCTCTCTGTGTAACTCTGGCTGTCCTAGAACTCACTCCATAGCCCAGGCTGGCCTCGAACTCATTGAGATCTGCCTGACTCTACCTCCCTAGTGCTGAGATTAAAGTGTGCCACCACCACCTGGCAAAGACTGCCTTTTTGAAAACAGTTATAGTTTATTTGCTTTGGTTTCTTTCTTACTAAAGTTTCCTCAGAAGTATGATAACCCTTGACTATCTGCTCATATTAGAAGTGGTGGATGCTGAAGTCTCTACCCCTCCCTGAGGATTAATAGGCAGTTAGTGATTACTGTGAGAAGGAAGGGACATTTCAGTGTTGTAGGCACCAGTAAGTTGCCCATGCTCCTGAAAAATTGGAATTAAATTCACTGGCATGAGTTTGTACACACACACACCACACAGGGTCTGCAGAGTGAGAGCGAAGAGGAGGGTAATAGGTGGTGAATACATTATATAATGTATGAAAATGTTACAATGAAGCTAATTCCATATAATGTATGCTAATAAAACTTTTAAACAAGATTTACTTTTTATTTTTAATTATATGTGTATATGTCCAGTATAAGTGTGACAGTTAATTTTTTTGTCAACCTACAGAAGCAAGGGCCATCTGGGAAGAGCCTCAACTTGATTGTTGATTGCTGTGGGAAGGCCCAGGCCACAGTAGGCAGGTGGTCCCGGGGTTGTATAAAAAAGCAGGCTGAGCAAGCCAGTCAATACACAGGGTTTAATGGTCTCTGCTTCCTTCCTCCCTCAGTGACTGCAAGCTGAAAGAAGAAATAAACCCTTACTTCCCCAAGTTTCAGCTCATGGTATTTATCAAAGAAAGAAAACTAGGACAATGGGTATGTGTATATGAGGGCAGGTGCCCAGGGAGACCAGAATAAGGTGTGAGATACCCTCAAGAAGGAGTTAGCTGCCTGATGTACTTGGAACTGAATGGACTTAGGTCCTCTGCAAGAGCAGAACATGCTTCTAACTGCTGAGCCAGCTTTCCAAGCCCCTGATAAAACTGTGCATATCAATTGACACCATGACAACATACTTCAGGATGACTTGGCTATGTCAATTCACTGGGGAGAGTAATGCTACTAGTACCCTTCAATTTTCTTTCTTGCAAGTTGTATTTTACAGAGTATATTCCTTTACTTCTTGCCTGGAATGTCCAGACCTAGCTATTGGCTTTCTAAAGCAGTCAACCAGTCAGTAAAGATACTATTTACCTACTCTCCCTGTTAAGCACTGCACTTTGCCTCCAAGAGTACCTCACACCCTTTAGTCTAGAAACCCAACTTAAAACAAAAACAAACAAAATCTTAGTTTCTTCTTTAATTTTTTATAGTAGACATATTAATTTCATTTTGAATATGATATGTAAATATTCTCAACTTCCAAGAAAGAAACTGTATAACTCCCCAACGAATTTCCCTATGGCACTGGCTGATACATAAATTGCTGGCACACTGTGCATTTGGTAGTTCTGAAGAGGGAAGAACATCTGCTCTTCTGCAATGACAGACTCTTGGGTGATTCATTTTGTGTTGTTCTGCTATTTCACTTTGATTTTTTTTTTGTTTGTTGTTGTTGTTGCTGCTGCTACTGTTTTGAGACAGAGTTTCTTTGTGTCCTGGAACTCCCTCTGTAGACCAGGCTGGCCTCGAACTCACAGAGATAGGCCTGCCTCTGCCTCAAATGCTGGTCTGGGATTAAAGGAGTGTGCCACCACTGCCTGGCTTTGTTTGTGTGTGTGTGTGTGTGTGTGTGTGTGTGTGTGTGTGTGTGTGTGTGTGTGTGTGTGTGTGTGTGCTTTCTCTCTAATTTGACGTTTATTTGTTATGTTTTTCTATCAGCAAAATTACACCTTGTTCTCAAGTAAAACTACCATTTTTTTTCCTTTGTATTTCTTCCTTAAAATTTTTTATATGTATTGGCATTTTGCTTGCATGTATGTCTGTGCACTACATGTGAACTTGATGCTCAGAGGGTGTTAGATTCTCTGAAACTGGAGTTACAGATGATTGTGAGCTTCAATGTGGGTACTGGGAACCAAACCTGGGTCATTTAAAAGCAAGAGTAACAAGTGCTCTTAACTGCTGAGCCGTCTCTACAGTTTTGCCATAGAATTTTTCATTTCAGTATTAGCTACTCAGCATTTCCAGGTGTGAACCATCAGAGATGAACAAGAAATCAGCTGACTGTATGTCACTGACTGTCCTGTCTTCACCCACAGCCACCTCGGGTTCTGTCTGATGCTGCCCCTGAAACAAGGTGAGGCCTGTGCTGGAGAGGGGGAGGTGGGTGCAGGAGGAGACAGAGTCAGATGGGATGGACTGACCCCCACATTCCCTCTACAAATAAAGATTTGGTCCCTGGTGAAGAAAGGAGAAACATGTAGGGATCTCTATCATCTTAGACTTTCAACACCTCTTTTTAGTGTATGCACTGCTAACACCCCTCAACTTAAAGAAGGCCAATTCTTGAGCCTTTTGGGAAATTCCAGGGTGAATAGACTAAGATTCAACTTCTAGGACTCCTGTTATTTAAGCTATATTTCAACTCCCAACACTTTGTTGATGTTACTGTTTTTCCCACCTTTCTATAGACCTATACCTCTAAACAATTCCTTTTCTTTTCTTCCTTTTTTTTCTTTTCTTTTCTTTTTGAGACAAGGTCTCTCTTATGTAACCTTGCCTGGCTTGAACACACTATGTAAGCCAGGATGGCCTTGAATGTACAGAGATCCACCTGCCTCTCCCTTGAATACTGGAACTAAAGGCCTGCACCACCATGCCAAATTTAAAAAGATTTCTTTACCACTGCTTCAGTCAAAGAGAAAAGCAAATCTGTGTGTTCAATTTGTCATTTTACCTTCATGTTTCTATGAAGTACTTTATAGGGCTAAAGGTGTTTTAAATTCCCATGAATAAAAAGATTGTTTAGTAAGTCATTGCTTTATTTTCTTTCTATCTCTCTGTCTTTCTTTCCTTCCTTCATTCTTTCTTTCTGTTTCTTTCCTTTTTTGGTTTTTCAAGACAGGATTTCTCTGTAGATTTGGAGCCTGCCCTGGAACTCACTTTGTAGACCAGGTTGGCATCAAACTCAGACATCCGCCTGACTCTACCTCCAGAGTGCGAGGATTAAAGGTGTGTGCCACCACTGCCCAGCATCAGTGAGTCATTTCTTTAAAAAAGCATATTCTAGAAGATTAGGCCTATTAAGATTTATTTACATGCAGGGAGTTCATTTCTATTTCTCAACTAGTGGGTCATCAGTATGAGAAAAATATTCAACTGAAATTTTTTCCTGGTTGGGATTTTAAAAGTTGTACACAAGAAAAGTGAAGAGACAGAAGATAACACCTGGTACCAAACAGAGAAGAAAAACTCAGGCTAGCCCCAATAAAACAGAAATAACTTCCAAGACCAAATTTATTCCAGAGAGAAAATAGGAAACAGCTCAAATTTTTGGATATCTGCTTAGGAAATCCCCCAATCAATATTCCCAGGCTATTAGGTGCTAAATCATCTATCATCATGGGAGGAGCTACACATGCATACTTCTAGTACTGGAAGGTTCCAATTTTAAGTTTCAGGACTTTACAATTCAGATACTAACACACTTCTACCTTGATGGTATTTTGCAGATCAAGATTGTAGGGTGGGTTAACTCAATCCAGAAATCACACAGATGTTTCTAAGTCAGTAACAAAAAGCAGGAATTATCTCAAAAAATGACTTTTACCAAAGTCCACATGGATCGAAAATTGGCACAGAGACAATCCGTTAAACAGAAGTAACTCACCCCTGCTGTAAATGGCCATCTGAAAGGAACCCAAACTGCAAGAGCAAGCCAACATTCTACTAGCTAGGCTGAGAAGGCCAGGGAAGACAGTAGGTACCTGTACTGAACCCCCATGGCGGTCTGCGGCCAAGTGAGACGTCAGGAATGAGGTATTGGTCTGCCGGCTGGGCTGGATTTCCCACTCTCCTCGGCGCTCTGATGATGCAGTCTGCTTAGGCATTAGGAAGCATGACAGCAAGATCATGGAAGGAAAGGTAAAGCAACAGAAAGCAACAACAAACTCCAGTACACTGGTGCTCCTGCAGGGTTTCTGTTTGGAGCTTGACATTAACAACTGCTGCAAAGCACTGAGAAATAGTTTTGTGCCTGTATTCATTTCCACTAATGAACCAACACATCAGTCGAAAGAAAGCCTGTACTGAACAAAAGTAGGGAGGGAGCCAACTAAAAGCTGGGCATCACCCTTCAGCTTTCACATTCATGTAATTTCAGCAGCTACTACGCAGATCAAATTCAGAAAGTTAACAGTGGTGAGGAACAGTCAAACTTATAAATAATTTCAATGGTTAAATAACTGAGCAGATAAAAGTTTTTACATGAAGAACCTAGACAATGTCCTTCCCTTAAGTGGGTAACCTACTACTCTCAAGATTAATGTCCACGAGACTTCCTTTTTCTTTCTTCTCTTCCATTTGAGTCAGGGTCTTGAGCTGGTAATGGCAATTAGTATGGAATTCACAGCAATTCTTCTACTTCAGTCTACCAATGTGGGGATTACAGGCATAAAACACTGTGTCTGACCACAAGACATTTACTAAAGTGAACAGTGGCCAGAGTATGCTTTCATATAGAAATGAATGAACAAAGTATTTTTCTTTAATATTTTTGATATTTTACTTATTAAATTTTTAAAAATTTGTTTTATATGTATGAGTGGTTTGTATATATGTATGTATGTGTGTCATGTGCTTATGGAGATCACAAGAGGATGTCAGATCCTCCAGAACTGGAGTTACGAATGGTTGTGAGTCACTGTGTGGGTGTTGAGAACTGAACCTAAGTCCTCTAAAGAGCAGGCAGTGATGTTAACCACTGGGCCAGCTCTCCAGCCCCCAAAATAACTTTTTACAGGAGGCTCACATGCCAAGAACAGCAAGACAAAGATAAAGCTTAGGATGCCTTTAGCCAATAGTATCTACTATTAATAGACATGACCAATGTGAATTACTTTCTTCCAGAAAGCAAAGGGCAGATATGTATGTATCAAAAATATGGCCTTCAATTAAAAACCTCTTTGGACTGTTTCTATTTTTGCTGCCATTCAGGTTGTCTCTATGCCTCTCCATGCCTCCTTTACCAGTTTGTTGTTTAAGATCTCATACTATTCTGATCTTGCTTATGTGTGACTTCTCATTCTGAAGAATCTGTACTAGGTGCCTCTTGCCCTGTGCCAGATGTATAAGGAGGTACTAATATCATGATGCAAAGCTATAATAGTTCTAAAAAATGAAAAATGAGTAGTGTGAGAGGCAGTAATGAGGAATTAGTCAACTAAATTTTAATTGCTGCTGATTAACAGCAGCAGCAGGGGTTGCGATGCAATATTCCTGCTCTACATGAATACTAGGGAAGGAACCTATAAATCTCAGAAATGCTGGTATCTATAAATGTGTAGCCTATAAAAATGGAGAGAGCCAGACAGTGGTGGTGCACGCCTTTAATCCTACCAGCAACCTGTGTAGCTGGGATTACAGTATATACTACCCTGATGTTTTCCTTCCAATTAGTTCAGTTGATAGATATTCAGAGGTTAAGTTTCCAAAATAAGGCTTGGTGTACAGCACAATTATACCACGTTATAAACTTAGTGACATTGTCTGATGCCTAGAGATAATAGACTAAATCTGCTTTTCTAACCTTAGACTATACACAACTAATTTGGGAAAGTTTAAGTAGAATATTTAAGTTTTTAAACTATTATGTAGTATTAGTTCTATAAAATGTTGTTTACTTTTTGAGACAGGATCTCATTATGTAGCTCCAGGTTGGTTTCAAACTCATAATCCCCTACTTCAGGTGTGTGCCACAACAGTGCCCATTTTCTCAACATTTAAAGGGCTAAAGGAGACTAGAGAGATGGCTCAGCAGTCAGGAGTACGTGCTGCTCTTGCAGAGGACCTGAGATCAGTCCCCAGCACCCATATGGTAGCTCACAACTGTCTACAACTCCAGTTCCAGGAGATCCAATGACCTCATCTTAACCTCTGTGGACACCAGGCACACACAAGGCACAAAGACATATATGCCAACAAGAAACACTCATGCACATTAAAAAAAAAAAAGGCCAGGCAGTGGTGGTGCACACCTTTAATGCCAGCACTTGGGAGGCAGAGGCAGGTGGATCTCTCTGAGTTCGAGGCCAGCCTGGTCTACAGAGTGAGTCCCAGGACAGCCAGAGCTGCAACACAGAGAAACCCTGTCTCAAAAAAAAAAAAAAAAAAAAGGAGGGGTTCTCAAAGACCTGCCCTTATTTGAGGATACATATATAGGCAGTTAACAGTTGCTGGGGGACATTTTCTTCAGCCCTGTAGCCACTGGTAAATTGTCCATTCTCCTGTAAGTAACCCTAATTAAACTCAATGGCCACTAAAAATAAACAAAGATGGACATTGAAGAGATGACTCAGCAGTTAAAAGCACTTTCTGGCTCTTCCAGAGGACCTAGACTTACACCAGGGAGTTCACAACTGCCTGTAACTCCAGTTCAAGGAGATCACACACACACACACACACACACACACACACACACACACACACACACACACACTGTAAGTAAATCTAAAAAAAAAAGTATGAAAGTAGAAGAGAAACTAGTTAGGAAGAAGATTAGTGGGAATGAGAGGGGGAAATGGAGAGGGTGTTGAATAGAAACTGTCACAATGAAATCCATCATCATGTTGTGTTCCTAACTACTGAGTTACCACCTCTCCAGACCCCAATCATAAAAGTTGTTTTTGCATTTTTCTTTTATCCAAGACAGGGTTTCTCTATAGCTTTGGAGCCAGGCCTGGAACTCACTGTGTAGACCAGGCTGGCCTCAAACTCACAAGAGATCTGCCTGCCTCTGCCTTCCAGTGCTGGGATTAAAGGTTTGTACCACCACTGCCAGGGCTTGCATTTGTTTTGAGTCACTTAAAATTGAATAAAAGGCTTGTCCTAAAAATGTAGCTTACCAGAAGCACACTTGTGTAAGGTCCTCGGTTTGATCCAGAACAAACATAAATAAAAAACAATAATTTAAAACAAAAGAGCCAGGTGGTGACGACAGATGCCTTCAATCCCTGTATTTGGGAGGCAAAGGCAGGAAGATTTCTAAGTTCCAGGCCAGTCTGATCTACAGAGCAGGTTCCAGGACAGCCAGGGATACACAGAGAAACCCTGTCTAAAGCCCGCCCCCTCCCCCCTCCCCCCGCAAAAAAAGGAAGAGAAAGAAAAGGGCTGAAATGTATATTCATTTACACTCACATGTGTATGGATGATTGAACTGAAGTTCCTGTGCAAGCTGAGCAAACGCTTTGTGATGGATCCAGAGGTATGGAACGGTACTGAAATGCTTTGTGTGTGTTGTGTTTATATTTAGAGGTATATGTTTCTGTGAGTGCAAATACATGTACATGTATGTGCATGTGGCCATGAGAGGACAGCTGTGAGGTCATGTTCCTCAGGAGTCAGCCACCTTGCTTTTTGAGACACAGTCTCTCGGGATCTGGGGCTTGATGATTTTACTAGGCTGGCAGGTCAGTAAGCACTAGGGATTCTCCTGTCCCTACCTTCCATGCACTGGGACTATAAGCTCGTGTCACCAAGAATAGCTCTGAATCAAAATAAAGTTCAGCGATTGAACTCAAGTCCTCATATTTTAATTTATTCTTAGTTTTCCCCTATACTAGTTGCCAAGTTAAAAAAAAAGTTTAATGCAAATTTCCTTATCAGTCTTCTGGTTTTTAGCCCAAGTACCTAATGAAGTCAAGGATCAGTCATTCTCCAGCCTAGCATTTGGGGAGCATCCTATTTTTCTAGCCTTGATTCCTAGGACTCCTTTAGTAGATATGTACTTGCTGTTGTTCATACTCTTTCTGCTTGGACTGTCTTGTCCATCTCTACTTCTTTCAAGGGCATTTCAAATGCAGCATTTTTTTTTCTTTCTCCCTGTGAAATAATTTGCCATGCTCTGACTAGGGGAAATATTTTCTTTGAATTCCAAATGAGACTGGGCATGGTGGTCTATGCCTTTAATCTCAACAATCAGCAGATATCTGTGTATTTGAGGCCAGTCTGGTCTACAGAGACAAAAACAAAAACCAATTAAAAGTGGTAATACTTTTTAATGCTTAAATGTTCTGCCTTGTATTATAGTTACCTGCTTCACGGCTTATCTATTTGCCAGATCTTTGGACTTAAGAGCTCCCTACTTATCCCTCTCTCCTTCCACCATGTGAGTTCTGGGCAATGCTAAAGACATTAGACTTTGCAGCAAGTACCTATACCTGCCAATCTGTAGCACAGACAGACCATGAAAGTGGGGAAAGTAATGAGACTAGGTCTACCTGTCTTGAAACTTACCCCAACACCCAAAAAGGGCAGAAATAAAAGCTTCATTTTTATCCATTTCTCTTCCGGCATATTCTTTTTCTTTTTTTGGTTTTTCAAGACAGGGTTTCTCTGTTTAGCACTGGCTGTCCTGGAACTCACTCTGTAGACCAGGTTGGCTTCCAACTTACAATCCACCTGCCTCTGCCTCCTGAGTGCTGGGACAAAAGGCATGCACCACCACTGTCTGGCCCCATACATTCTTCTTCCTCTTCTTTTTTGTTTTTGTTTTTCAAGACAGTGTTTCTCTGAGTAGCTTTGGAGCCTGTCCTGGAACTTACTCTGTAGATCAGGTTGGCCTTCAACTCACAGAGATCTGCCAACCTCTGTCTGCCAAGTGCTGGGGTTAAGGGTGTGCACCACCATCACCTGGCCCTATACATTCTTTTGAATGTCTTCTTAATTATAAAACTGGAACTTCATTAGAAAATGTTTTAGAAAAATAACACTCAGAATTCTGTCTCCAATATTACTTCTGTTAATATTTTGTATTATCGCATCTCATTGATTTTGTTCACTTTCCCTTTCCTTGAAAGGAAATTGTGAAGATTTATTTATATACTTTTTTTGGCCTTTTGAGGTAACAATATTACTACATAGCCCACACTGGCCTCTACTTGTAGTAACCTTACTGTTTCCAACTTAAAAGAACTTGGATTAAAAGACATGCCCCATCATACTGAGCTCTAAACATAGATGAATCTTTCTTCTTTGTTTTATGGCTGTGCCAGACCCTGAGCCCATGACCTTGTATGTGTCAGGCAAACACTCTACCCCTGAACTATATCTTTAGGGTATTTTTTTTTTTTTTCGAGACAAGGTTTCTCTGTATTGTTTTGTAGGCTGTCCTGGAACTCGCTCTGTAGACCAGGCTGGCCTTGAACTCACAAAGATCTGCCTGCCTCTGCCTCCTGAGTGCTGGGGTTAAAGGTGTGCGCCACCAACGCCCGGCTTCTTTAAGGTATCTTACACAACTTTCAAATCAACCTGGGTATGATTGTAACTGTGCAGGTTGCAGTTTATACTAGGTCAGCTGAAAAGTCAAATCGCCACCCTTGTCAGTAAACAAAGAGTACAACTGGCACAAGCCCTAGAGTCACCTGCAGAGAGTGGCCTAAGTACACCATGTGTTACATCTGCATATGCAGCTTAGACCCAAACTCACAGCCAGCTCTGAGGTCTCCTGAAAAACCAGACTACTCCCTCAGGTCCAGATTCTTTTTTCCTTTTTGGAGACACACTCTCATTATCAAGCTCTGGCTGGCCTGGAGTTCCCTATATAGACCAAGCTGGCCTCAAACTCATAGAGATCTGTCTGCTTCTACCTAATGCTGAGATTAAAGGCCTGTGACATCATAGCTGGTGATCAGACCCTTATTCTTTAGCTTGTATGACTCATCCAAATGCATTTACATTTGCTCTGACAGTTGCTCCAATGTCATACTAAACTAGCTGTTTTTCTTAACTCCACATAAACACTAACATAAAGGGGTAGAATCTGGGTTTTGACAGTAGTTATAAAGAAGGGGAATGATTAAGACAACTAAAACCTAACACATACCTGATTTCGAAGAGGCTGTTGTTGTGATGGCCGATCCCTGTGTGTGTGGCTTTCTCGAGTTATTGCAGATGCACCAGAATCTACATGAACTGATCCTACTGGAGTAGGCTAGAAAAATGAAGTAAATATCAAATGGGTAACCTGGTGTGGTGACTGCACACCTTCAATCTCAGTACTCAGAAGCAGAGTCGGGTGGATCTCTGTGAGTCTGAGGCTAGCTTGGTTTACATAGTGAGTTCCAGGACAGTGAAAGCTATACCCTGTTCAAAAACCACCACCCAAAAAGGTCAAATGGGGAAAACAAGTTTAACATAATAGCTCTGTAAAGGGCTGCAGCATGTAATTCTTATAGAGTAGGAATCAATCTTTTTCTTTGGTGTTTCAAGACAGGGTTTTTCTATGTGGCTTTGGAGCCTGTCTTGGCACTTGCTCTGTAGACCAGACTGGCCTCAAATTCACACAGATCGCCTGCTTCTGACCCACAAGTGCTGCAAGGGTGTGGTCCACCATCTCCTGGCTCTTTTTCTTTTCTTAAAAAAATTATTTTTAGGTGTATGGGTTTTTAGCTTGCATGCATGTCTGTGCACCACATGCTTGCAATGCCCAAGGAGGCCAGAAGAGGGTGCTGGATTCCTTGGAACTGGAGTTACTACAGAAGGTTGTCAGCTGCCTTGTGGGTGCTAGGAATTGAACCCAGGTCATCTGGCAGAGTAGCTAGGGCTCTTAACTGCTCTGCCACTCTCCCCCCTTTTCCTTTCAAATCATCTTGTTTCCCCACATTTTGTCATTTGTAGAAGGGAAGGTAGTCTGGTCATCAACAATCTATTTGAGAGCAGGCTACCCTAGAAAGTAGAACAACTGCTTAGCAGCATTATCTCTTAGCACAGTCTCTGATGATGTAGGCTCTGGTTAGAACTAGTAAATCCAAGTTTCATAAGGTGTTGGATTCTACTCCTACAGAAGTCAAGTTCCTCAATAACACAGACAGGACTAAATTGTGAATCAGTTAAAAGAAACGTGTCAAAAACCTGTCTTAGCCGGGCGTTGGTGGCGCACGCCTTTAATCTCAGTACTCGGGAGGCAGAGACAGGCAGATCACTGTGAGTTCGAGACCAGCCTGGTCTACTGAGTGAGTTCCAGGACAGGCTCCAAAACAATACAGAGAAACCCTGTCTCGAAAAACCAAAACCAACCAACCAACCAACCAACCAAACAAACAAACAAACAAAAAAACCCCAAAAAACAAAACCTGTCTTAAATTATAGTATCTCAGGATATATATTATAATCTTTGAGAATTTGTTTTATTTCATGTGTGTGCTTGCTTAACTATGTGTAAGAACATAACATGTCTGCCTGGTGCCCAGAACAGAAGAAGGCAGGGCACTGGATTCCCTTGAACTGGAGTTACAGATGGTTGTCAGATTTTGGGAACTGAACTTAGGTCCTCTGTAAGAACAGCAAGCACCCTTAACTGCCAAACCATCTCTTCAGTCCTCACAAGTCATAATCCAAAAAGCATGTAATTCATTGGTCTAATGACAGCAACCTATAGTGTTACTTGAAAAAGGCTGGTAATCAGGAAATTTTCTCTCAAAGATGTTAGCAGGACTGGAAAGTAAAAAGTTGGGCAGTGCTAATCTGAGGGTTTTGTTGTTGTTGTGTTTTGCTTTTCAAGATAGGGTTTCTCTGTATAATGGCCCAGACTGCCCTGGAATTCACTCTGTAGACCAGGCTGGTCTTGAACTCACTGAAATCCACCTGCCTCTGCCTCCCAAGTGCTGGGATTAAAGGCGTGCACCACCAATGCCAGGAGAAAAAAGGGAAAAAATGAACAAACAAACAAATAACTAAATAAATAAAATTAAAAGGATACTTACAATAGGCCTTCCAACCCAATCATAGGCATAGTCAAAGGTGTAGCCTTTCCGTTCAAACAGATCCGTGAAGAGGGTTCGTAAATACTCATAATCAGGTTTTTCAAAGAAGTCCAATCGCCTGACATATCGAAGGTAGGTTGCCATCTCCTCTGTTAAGGAAAAGGTAAAAAGCCATGCCTGTTAGCTGAATGCTTCCCTAGAAGTTAAGCTCCGAGCTACACAAGAGATATCTGTACACATTACTTGACACTAATTTTCTTTATGGACCAAATAAAAGTGATACCTTCCTTGGGCTGAATAATAACAAAAAGAAATGTAAATGATCTGGCCAAGACCTATTAGTATTTATAGATATTGTGATATTACCTACTTCAAAGTGTCAGTCACACTGGCTGTATTATCCTTTTAGCATCCTACCTGGGAAGTTCTCACAGAGAGCCTCGATAGGAGTATTCCTTTTGGTATCACCAATTTTTTGATATCTCTCTTTTAATGTATCAGCCTGTAGAGAGTAAAGAAAGAAAATTACCTGGAAAAACATACCAAGTAAGTAAGTTTAAATGTATTCTCAGACATTGGGAAATATATATATATATATATATTTTGGTTTTTCGAGACAGGGTTTCTCTGTGTTGTTTTGGAGTCTGTCCTGGAACTCGCTCAGTAGACCAAGCTGGTCTCGAACTCACAGAGATCCGCCTGCCTCTGCCTCCCTGAGTGCTGGGATTAAAGATGTGCACCACCACTGCCTGGCTGGGGTTATATATTTTTTAAAGATTTTACGCTCAATTATGTATGTATGTGTGTATCTGTATGTGGAAATGTACCCAAAGAGGCCAGCATTTCCCTGCAGTTGGGAGTTACAGGTGGCTGTGAGCTAATTGATATGGGTGCTAGGAAATGAATTTGGGTGCCCTACAAGAGCCGTACATGTTCTTAAACCATTGAGGCATCTCTCTATTCACCACAATTGTCATTTTCATTCAAACTGGTAGGTCTGTTAGTGGATCTTAATTTTTTTCTATTTAACAAATAATGTTTGAAAGTCAGCCCTTGACACAAGGGTTTGTAAAGTAAAATAAAAATAAAAATAAAAAAAGAAGAAAAAAAAGAAAACAAAAACAAATAATGTATAGACATATTGTTTTCAGATATACACAAACCTCTGACGAGATCTTGAAAGTTTCAATGGAAAATGTGTTTATTAATCTCAGACAAGAAGGATAGAGAAAATAAGTAAACAAAACATTATGTACCAGTATTTTAAAGATTGTGGCAGCTTAGAAAACTCCCATGGCCACTTAGATCCATCAGTGACTCAGCCTTCTCCCTCTATGATCAGTTCCAGTTTCTTTTTTTGTTTGTTTGTATGTATGTATGTATGTATGTATGTATGTATGTATGTATGTGAGTGCTCTATCTGCATGTACAACTTTATGTCAGAAAAGGGCATCGGTATCACTACAGATAGCTGTGGGTCACCATGTGGTTGCTGGGAAAGAACTCAGGACCTCTGGAACAGCCAATGCTCTTTAACTGCTGAGCCATCTCTCCAGGCTCCAGTTCCAGTTTCTACTAAATACATATACTACTATTTAGTTGACCTCTAAAGAATATGTTTTCTCAGATGAAGTCACACATTTTTGTGACCTTTTCTGCAGTTAGTAATTTATTTTCCTATTTCAAAGGAGAGAAAAACTACATATACATACATATTGCCAAGCTACAAAGAACAGAAGGACAAGAAGTGAAAAAACCCTAAAGGTTTCCAGGTTTGAGGATATAGCTTAGTGACAATGGAAACCAACCAACAAACAAAACCTTTCCAGACATAAACCTGCAGAATAGGCATCACTAACAAGCAAGTGTGTGTGAGAGGGTCAAAGCAGTCCAAGTAGGACATACTCAGGACGGCACACAGGAAGCTTCTGGTCCTTAGACTCTTCATTTAGGCTCTAGCCAGCCTACTTCTCCCAGACTCAAGTAACAGACAGGAAAAGTAAAGTGGAGAGATTCTAAATCCACTAATACCACTAAAATGGGGTTGCACAAACCACAAGAGTTCCAAGCAAATGACAATGCTGTATACTGATGGACTGTTTGGTACGTGATCAGCAAGCAGAATGCGTAGCCATTTGTAACAATTCACTATCAATGAGAAGACATACATGACCAGATGATAATGGCTTAAGTTTCCTAGTAACTGTCCCAGAGTAATTATAATGTTTATAACTATATTGTGTTAATTAACAGTTTACTCACAGGCACTGTACACCATTTACCTAAAAAAGTGACTGAAACTTTATGTTTGCAAGAGATGGCTATTATTTGAAAAGTTACTTATTCAATAATTTATTTGCATAGCAATGTTAAACCTGAATTTTTTCTGCTATTTTAGTTAAGGTGAGTCCTTTGTCTATGTAGGGTGAATAATGATTTTCCAGTTCACCTTAGTAGCAAGGAAAAGCCCTGCTGGCTTTTTTAGTAAATGTGTAGCAGCTGCTGTCATCAATTTGTTCTAGAATTTCCCTGATACCCTGGGAACAACTCCTCCTGCTACATAATGATAGTGAAGGAGGGGCATGCAGAGGACAGCAGCACTGCCAAGGCTGGGAGGGAATGAGAGAAAGGGTTATGGAAAACCCAAACACAAAGAGGCAGGGTTAGGATGAGAAGGTGAGGAAGCCAAATGCGAACACACAGGAGCTCTCAAAGCCCAGGTGAACATTAACAATGTGACTAATGTCACTAATCCCTGCCTCTCATCTCTGAAGCCAACCTTCTCCTTGGTGCTTTTTAAGACACCAAACTAGCAGCCCTTTCATTATCTACTGAGCAGAGAGACAAAAGCACTTTGAAGGATACCTTGAGTCCTTGCCAGGGCAGGCTGCCGCGGAGGAAGTACATGAACATATGGCCTAGAGCTTCCAAATCATCTCGCCGACTTTGCTCTAAGAGGGAAGACAGATCACACATTATGTTAGCAGTTATTGCAGTGGAAAGAGTTTTAAAACCAAGGAATCCCCACAAGCCCTTCTGCTCTGGAAAGGCTCTGCTCACTAATCTGTGTATGCCTAAGCCAGGAATAATATTTTAGATCAAAACTGAGAAACAGTGGGTGGCCTTCCTTTGTTGTTAAAAGTAAATAGCAAGTGAAGAGCAAATTCTAAATTAAGATCAAGGCCCAACGCTAGACGGTAGGCAAACCACTCCTTACTCAACACTGTTATCTATCTGAATGTGAGATAATACATAAACGAAACAGAACTTGTAGCGTACCAGCTAGTTACCCTTTGGTTACCATAAGGAAAAGTGAGCAGCAGACCAAGAAGTTGAAGTTACTTTCAAACAGTCCCCATTGGCTAGGCCTGCAAAGATACAAACTGCAGATGCCTAGCACACAAGTTTAGCATTCCCACCCCCACCCCAGACAGGGTTTCTCTGTGTATCCCTGGTTGTCATTCTGTAGACCAGGCTGGCCTTGAATTCACAGACATATGCCTGCCTCTGTGCCTTCCAAGTGTTGGGATTAAAAGTGTATGCCACCACCGCCCCACTACTCATCATGTTTAGCAATTTTAATTCATCACAAAAATGAACCATTCAGTTTCAAGTCAGCAGAAAACAATCACTTCTTGGTTCCCACTTGTTCCATGTACCCCATAACCACTTCAAAACTCAGCAAGTTTACTACTGAGGTGTTGTCTATGAATACACAAAACAAGGTGGCATCCTTAGAACTTTCCTAAAACAAGTTGCTAGTTTTTCTCTCCTTTGAAATGGGAATTGCTAATTGTAGAACAGTTCACAGAAATGTGTGACTTCATCTGAGAAAACATGTTCTTTGGATGTCATTTGAATACTGTATATGCGTCTACTTTGAATTTACTAGTTATGACTCATCACAGGCATTTATTATTTACTGTTCTTGTTTTACAGAGCTAGGGCTTCATGTAGCACAAGGTGACCTCAAATCTGCTATGTATCTCAGGATGAACCTCCTGCCTCCACTTCTCGAGTGCTAAAATTATGTGTTTACTTTTTGTTTTGGCTGAGTTTAGAGCTTCATCAAAAGAGATGACAGCTGAGCTTGGTGGTGCACACCTCTAGTCCTCCTACTCAAGAGGCAGATGATCTCTGTGAGTTCAAAGTCAGCTTGGACTACATGAGACCCTGACTCAAAAGGGGGGTGGGGTGGGAGGAGTGCAATAGGAGAACTAAGAGACTACCTTTTTTTTTTTTTTTTTCCGAGACAGGGTTTCTCTGTGTTGTTTTGGAGGCTGTCCTGGAACTCACTCTGTAGACCAGGCTGGTCTCGAACTCACAGAGATCGGCCTGCCTCTGCCTCCCGAGTGCTGGGATTTTTTGAGCAGAAAGTAAAATCTAAAAGTACAGAACAGAGGCTAGAGGGATGGCTCAGAGGTTAAGAGCACTGGCTGCTCCTCCAGAGGTTCTGAGTTCAATTCCCAATTCCCAGCAACAGCATGGTAGCTCACAACCATCTGTAATGAGATCTGGTGCCCTCTTTTGGTGTACAAGCATACATGCAGGCAAAACACTGTATACATAATAAATAAACAAATCTTAAAAAAAAAAGTACAGCACAAGTATGACTGCCACCTCAAATTATGTGAAACTAACACAAAAAGGAATGAGCTGTGATTCTGTAAACCTGTTTTTGAAGACAAGGAGTCTCTGTATAACTACTAGAATTTGCTTTGTAGACTAGGCTGGCCTTGAACTCACAGAGTTCCATCTGCCTCCATTTTTATATCTGTTTCCTGTATATTACAGGAAGCCTCTTGATAAAAAAATTTACCAGGCAAGTGCTTGCATTGTAGTTAAGTGAGCACTAGAGGGCGAACTCTCCACAGATTTAAGGATTTTTCAACACACACAGAGAGGGGGGAGGGGAGAGGGAGAGAGAGAGGGAGAGGGAGAGAGAGGGGGAAGGGAAGGGAGAGGGAGGGGGAGGGAGAATTTTTTTTTTACAAAATGGAGAGAACAAACAAAATGTTTTGACATGTTAGAGTTGACCTGAAGAGCAAACCCCATTCTGGAGATAATGAGATAATTTTAACAGCAACAGCAGCTCATCAAGATGATGATGAAGTACTTTACTTATCACACAGGGTAGATGTTCAAAACATACCTTGAAAAATAATAAAGATAACTACCACATGGAATGACCCACTGGGCTAAACATTCTATCCAAGTCACATTTTGCCTGAAAGTATATCTGTGTACCACATTGTGTTTCCTGGTGCCCGAAAGACCAGAACAGAGTATCAGATCCCCTGCAATCAGAGTTACAGATGGTTATGAGCTGCCATGTGGGTGCTGGGAACTGAACCTAGTCCTCTGTAAGAGCAGAGTCATCTCTTCAGCTCCTTAATCCATACTTTAAGTGAAACCTTGTTACTAACACAGGCACAAGCCTGATGTTCTCTCCTTTTGTCATACACAGAGTCATACATGTGTAAATACAAGTCTCATTATTAAACCTATTCAATTACTGCTATCTTGTTACAATAACTCAAGTTCTTAAACTACTGAGCAATGAAGCATTAAAAAACACAGTTGAAAGAATGAAGACTCCACCAGTTTTAAGGTATTTGGTAACATCACTAAGTTACCATTGCAATCTTTTAAGTACAAAAAAGTCACTTACCTTGTGATACAACAAATGGTACAAGTTGTAATGCACAATAAAGGGCTACTGGAAAAGAAAGTAGTCACACGACCACCCTGTAAACACACCTTTGCCCAGATGAGTGTTGATAGACATGTACCGCGCAGTTCCAGTTAAGCTCTTGTGCTCTCTGTAAGGTATGTGCTTTTTGGTTTCAGGATCAATGTATTCCTTGGCCAGTCCAAAATCTATTATGTGTATCACATGCTCTTTCTTATTGCCTTGTCGGCCAATCAAGAAGTTCTCTGGTTTGACATCTCGGTAAATGAGATTCTTTGAGTGTACATACTCCATTCGAGAAAGCTAAAAGAAAGAAAAAATAATGGAAATACCTTGAAATAAGCATATTGTAAGCATATTGACGGGGAATGGGAAGGGATGGGACAGGGACATGATCCAAAATGCTTCCCCTCCCTGCTTTTTTTTGAGACAGGTTCTCACTATGTAGCTCTTGCTGTCCCAGAATTAACAGCTTCCCAAGGCTGAGATCAAAGGCACACGCCATTATACCTGGTCCAAAATAGTTCTTAAAATTATGTTTGTCTGTCTGTCTGTCTGTCTGTCTGTCTATCTACCTATGCATCCATCCATCCACCCACTCACTCACTCATGGACATGGTGTGGTGGACATGGAGGATAGCTTGCAGAAGTCAGTTCTTTCTACCATGTGGGCCTGGGGACTAAATTTACACTGTCAGGTTTGGTGGCAAGCACCAGTCATTTCACTGGCCCCAAAATATTTTTTTTCAGTTTTATTTTTTTCTTTCTCATTGTTTTCTGTATCACTATGTTGTCTAGGTTAGGCCTTGAGCTCTTGAACTTAAGTAATCTTCTTATCTAGATCTCTTAAGTATCTGGTACTGTATATATGTCATTGTCTCTGACTCAGCATAAGGTTTCAGAAACTAAAATTAAAATAAAACTCATCTCTTGGCCAGGTGTGGTGGTACATGCCTTTAATCACAGATGGATTTCTATGAATTAGTTCAAGGCCAGACTGCTTTACATAGGAGAGTTCCAGGCCAGCCAGGGCTACACAGTAAAAGACCCTGTCTCCAAAAACTAAAACAACAATAACAAAATCCATCCATCTCTTATTTATCTCCTACTTTACTGACTTAGAAACCAAAACTACATTTTAAGGTTTCTTTTGTTATTTTATTTATTCATATATATGTGTGCCCTCCTGAGTTTACATGTACCAGTTGTGTGCATGTGTTCACAAGGCCAGAGGCTGTCAGATTCCCTGGAACTGGAGTTATAGGCAGTGTTAGTAGTCTGATGTGGGTGCTGCAAACCAAATTTAGGTTTTCTGCAAGAGCAGTAACTGCTCTTAGCCGATATCTCTAGCATACCCCCATCCCTAGTACTTTTTATTACAAATATATAACAACTATCAAGATTAGGAGGAAAAAATGAGACAGTACAATTTGGCTAAAATGATAATATTTTACTTTATATATTGTAACTTGCAAACATGTACTATGAGACAGGTACAGCTGCCACTTCTCCTCCTGCCCATACTCTGCATTTTCAGGTGCTCAGGACTCTCTAACCCAAATCTTGGTATTACAGAAATAAGGAGGACGTGACCACAGCTTGAAATAAGTAATGGTAACATTGTCTCAAATTTCATTAAATAATTCTATCTGTAAAGCATTTCTACGTAGCGTAAATGGGAGGCTTAAATATTTAGATTTTGGTCACTTTTTTAAAAGTGTTTCCAAATTGCTGTTGGATGATGGTAAGACCACGACTTCGAATTAAGATGCACCTAAAGGCTGGAGTGGTGATACACATCCACCTTAGCAATCAGGAGGCTGAAGCAAGAGGATCTAAAGTCAAAGCCAGTCTAAGCTGATGAGACCATCTCAACAAAACAAAACAAAAAACACCCAACATTTGAATTCTTCCCTTGAGGGTCTAAAAAAAATCTCAAAGAAACTGTTCTAACTGCTTAAGATGGAACTAGTATGTAATTTGGCTGCAAAGCTTCTTGGCCAAAGTATACAATATGGCAGAGAAGTAAAGATCTCAGTCACATGATTTTGAAAACGTTAGTGCAGGGAGGAGTATCTTCAGTCTTTTCTAGTTTTCAACAGCGAGAGAAGGAGGGCATGATAAAATCTTACAGCTATGTGCCTAAGACCTATAAATAAAATGCTGAAGCAATTACTTGAATGTGCACAACTCCACCTATTCGTCCTCTTTCTCCCTAATGTAAATTATATTCCTCCACTTCAGTCGGAAAAGGTTCTGCTTCAAGGTGCAAATTCTTAAAATAGAGTGAACTGCAGATACATTGTGACTTCTCTCAGTTAACTCATTTGTAACCCTCTAAGTTGTGTGACCAAGAACTTACCTTTGTTGTTTGGCATATTACATACTGGCCAAGAATCTTTGTGGCCAAATTATACATAGGAACCACCTAAAGCAGCAGTTGTAATAGTTTGTTTCAGAAGTCTGCTAGATTCTTCTAGAGTGCCATTAAGCCTGTAAAAACTAATTCAGATATCACTATAGCTAATACATCACCAAAAGGCCCTTAAGGATGTGGGCAAGGGATTTTATTCATCTTCTGGAATAGCACATCAACTCACCAACTGGATGGCTATCATTAACACCGTCTTCAAAGTAAATGTTCGATCACAGAGGTCAAATAAGTCCTCCAAGCTAGGGCCAAGGAGCTCCAGCACCATGGCATTGTATTTCCCACATGGTCCAAAGTAATATACCTGTGGGAGGCCTTCACCTGAAAACAGACGGGGAAATGGGGCACAGAGTGGGAGACACAAAAACCAAACTATAAGACAACTGAATAACAAAAGAATATAATATAAAGTATAACCTGTGAGATTTCAATTTCCTTTCACAGTCCCTCCTGGAAAAGCTACACTGAGTATAATAGCTTCAGTGGGAACCATTACTGAATGGAAAAGGCTAAGTCACTGCACAATATGTTCAAATAAGCAGTTATTTAACACCAGAGTGCCAAAGGCATTTCCACTACTATGCAAAAGAAAATGGTCCCTGATCCATTATTGGTTCAGAGTGTAAACTATTCTTCCCAAAGGATGCCTGAAAGTGCACTATCATAAAAGGTTCAAAGGAAGCCTCACTGAGCTCAAATCCACAGGCTAGCAGACCTTGTTGCATTGGTTGGTTTCATTAACACTCCCAGTGCTTACTGCTAAAGCCAAAGGGAGTTGTTTGCAACCACTGCCCCCTGGGGAATTTGGATTGAAGAGGCTAGGTCAAAGAGGTGCAGCCTGGCCCTAGGCCAGCACAACTGGCTTTCTTTTCACACAGAATCTCTGTGGGGCTTTGTTTCTCTCAGCTAGGAGTCAGCAGACACTTAGCATTTGGTTGCTGTAAAGTAATTAGGAAAGGAAAGGGGGAAACTAAAATCTCAAAAGCTGTAGTTTCTCCATATTTGAAATTCATAGATATGTGAAGCTAAAAAATCTGGATTTTCTCACCTAAATATCAACTTGTGAATGAATTCCTTTTTACAGTAATTATGAAAACAAGGTAGGTATTCAGTATATGTTTATAAAGCATACTGTTACTGCCTCCCCCTCCCAAGTTTTTCAAGACAATATAATTTTATCCATCTTTTATTTATTTATTGGGGGTGTGTGTTGAGACAGGGTTTTCTCCGTGTAGCCCTGGTTGTCCTGGAACTCATCTGTAGACCAGGTTGTCCTCCTGCCTCTGCTTCCTGAGTGCTGGGACTATAGGCATGCACCATCATGCCCAGTATCCATCTATTTTTATTTGTTTTGATTTTTTTGTTTGTTGAGATGGAGTTTCTCTGTGTAACAGTCTTAGCTGTCCTGAAACTTACTATGTAGACCAGGCTGGCCTCAAACTCACAGAGAAATGCTTGACTCTGCCTCCCAAGCTTGAGATGAAAGGAGTGCAAACCATGCCTAGTTCCATCTTTTTAATTTTTAAAAGAATTATTTTGGGGGCTAGAGAAATGGCTCAACGGTAAAGGCTGGGCTCACAACCTATTTATGTGTAGGTGTACCATGTGTGTACAGGCAACTATGGAGGCTAAAAGGGGGCATCAGATCCAATGGAGTTGGCCTAACAGATGGTTATGAGATGCAGGTGCTGAGAACTGAATTCTGGTCCTCTGGAAAAGCAGGAAGAGCTCTTCATGGCTGAGCTGTCTCTCTAGTCATCATTCTTTTTTAATGTATATGGATGAAACATAGGCAGAATCAATGTACATCTAACCATCCTTTCCCCCAGGGAAGGCCTTATATACCTGGAGTCACTGTGACTCATTGTCACAATGCATATTTAGCTACTTCACATACTGCATTGATCTATCTTTTTCCTCTTAGACACTAAATAACTTTAGTATTTTAATAAGTTCATGCCTAGTCTATATCAACTAATAATGTACTCTTGCTCCTACTAATTCTGGAGTTACTTTTATTCTGTCTCCAAAAAGAAACAAGCTTTAAACTGGAATGTCTTTTTTTTCCTCTCCTCCTGTTGTTCTGAAATCATTTTTCCCAAGATTTCAAACATACAGAGTGTTGTTTCCAAGGAGTCTTGCTGAGAAATTCAATTTAGAACATTCTGTCCAAGAGGTTAATTGCTTTTACCAAACACATTACAGATAGAATTTGGAGATATTTTAAATTTATGCTCAATTTTAACAGTTTTTTAAAAAAAAGTCTCTAAAAGTTTATTTTTCTAACATTAGTATTATATTTCTCAGAGCTAGTTGTAGCAGGGTCTGTTAGTTGCCTGGCCAACATTCATTGTTTCTTTCTCCCTATTCATCAAAAGAACTTTTTTTTGGTGTGTATGTACTTTTGTGTATGCAATACCGATGTACACGCATGTGTGCATGCTAGAGTCAGCTCAGGTGTTGCTCCTGTCTTTGCCTCCTCAGCACTCAGAATACAAGTGTGCACGACTGTGCCTGGCTTTTCACATGGGTACAAGGTGGGGTCTTAAATTTACTGACTGAGCTATCTCTCCAGTCCCCAGAATTTCTGATCACTGCAAATGGCAACCTGCACAGTTACAACTGAGTATAGGAATGGTCAATGAGATAGAAGCAGAAATTTTTGGGTAGGGTGGTTTTACATAGAAAAGCTCTTTCAAGAAAGTTGATTCAAGTGGATGGGACACCTTATGGAACTCCAGAGAATCACAAAGTACCTTCAAATATAATACAGCAACAGGAATAGATGTAGCAACCAAAAGAGCCTGATATATGAGGTCTGTGGAATAATACCTGAGCTGGACTTTCCACCCATCTACACACCCCCACCAGCTGGACTTTCCATCCATCTATATACCCCCACCTTTTTTTTGACATGCTGAGGACTGAACCTTAGGTAAGTGTTCTACCACTAAACTACATCGCTAGAGCTGTTCTAGATTTTTTTCTTAATCTAACTGAGCTACAGTTACAGGCTCTATTTTAAAAATAAGAACCAAAACTAATTCTACTTAATAAATACATTGTTTCTTTACATGGCTGAATTCCAAGTCTAGGCACACAATCCTCTTTTTAAACACAGGCTCCAAGTCAGGTCTACTTGGTTAAAAATGAGACTAATAAGTTGCTTATTCTCAACAACCTTCAATATCAAACCTGGGTATCCCCTTGCTACAAATTTCCGTATTTACTAAAAATTCAACAAAAGCATTTTTGGGCAATGCCTATACTTTGTAACAATAATGTCAATAATAAATTCTGCATAGAAACTTAAAAGAATGAGGAGTTTGTGGTGTTTGCGGATGTAAAACACTTCAGAAGGGCTTAGTGAACACTGGGATGTCGGTGACCATATTCAGACCACTGCGTAATTTTACAGCATTTCTAGGGAGGTACTAGTTTCAAGATACTAGTGCAGAAAGAGTTCAAGTGTTTTGTATCTAATATTTGCGTTTGCTACTACTTCTAGCAAATTCTTTTGTCTCCCTCCATATATTGGCTTTTTCATCTTTGCAACACAGAAGAATTTAAGCTAGTTCCTCTTTAAAACTAAGTTATGACTATAATTTTCTTCTAGCTATCTTCTAGGTTCATCTTAGTAAAGTCACAAAATCAATATGAATTAAACTTAGATTCCATGTGGAGTAGTAATTAAAATGTAAGCTATCAGTGACACGCAACTAGAAAACTGTTCACCTGAAACATCTTAAAACAAAAAAACAGATGAAGTGATTTTGCCTCACACTTTCTGAATTAGGATTTCCAGGAGTGGAGCAGAAGCAAACAATACTCTTAAGTGATGAGCAGCCCCAACTAGAAGCTGCATTTGGAGGGGAGAAACAAAGGGCATTGACATGTTGTATAACTTACACATTATTAGGAATCAGAAAACACAAACCAGTTTCTACACAGTTCTTTCAGATTGGAACAAATGAACTTATTTATTTGTTTATTCATCTGAGATTTCATCTCACTATATATACTCCACACTGGCCTCAAACTTGCTGTCTTCCTGCCTTAACCTCCTGACTGTTGGCACTGCAGGTGTGAGTCACCATACCCAGCTTGGACAAAACATCTTTTAAAAGAAATAATTTCAGGATTATTTAAGAGGCTTCCTGGGGGTGAAGGCAGCTTTCTATGCCAAGTTTCTTAGGTTATTACAAGAAATGAACTACCAAGCAGGAAACTTTCTTCAGGAGATGTAGTTGTAATTTAATAGAACTGTTTGTACAAAGAGTTGCCTGTATAAGTACTATTCTGTGTCTGTGTATTTTGCATGGCTACCCATAGAATAGTAATAGACCTCCACTACTCTCCGGTAGAATTACCATACAATAATGTTTTACCCACCCCTTGGTTGAATGCAAGTGAAGATCCTGAATCTTTCACTCTTCTGTACAGCCATCTCCAATTCACTGCTCAATAAAATTTAAATTAACATTATGTTGTGGAATTCTTTAATAAGACCTAGAGTAAGGACACTATAAATGCAATACAAACTACATACAAGGTAAACAAGGTACTTCCTGTAAATAATTATGAGAGAAATGGGATAGGAAAGCTGAGCAAAGCAAATAAGCACTGGATTTTTGGACTACAGTCTATCACAAACTAAGGTAGTTTTATAATCTCTGTCTCTCACCGGGTTTCACTGTCATCTAGGCTAAAAAACTCACTCTCGTCCAGGCTGACCTTAAACTTGAAATAATTCTCCTATTTTTGTCTCTTGAGGACTGGTGTATCAGGTTTAAAACTATCACATCGTGCTAGTTTTATAATCTTTTATCTTCTCTGGAAATAATGCAATCATAAATCAGCCAAAGAACAGTTTAATCATATGTTAAATCCTCAACAAACCCAAAGTGTAAGATTATATATTACATCATCCTGAGTATTTTTCCAGAAATAGCCCTTACATTTAGCAAAAGCATTTTCTTATAAATCCTGCAGGCCATGTGTCTGACACATATACCAAGTTGTATAGCACAGGAAGGTAAGGTTATAACACCACAGTTAATTATCATTGTATCATAAATTTAATTTGGGTTAAACTTACCATACCAACATTAATTGCTTACTTATTACCCAAGCTGTCTAAGACGCTGGCTTTTACCTAAAAAGCTCCCATAATACACTATGAGCAGTAACTACTCTAAGCAGAGATATTTTAAATGTACATCAGGCTGAGAACTGAAATAGAAGCAACTGAAATTTTTGATAATTTGCTCATATTACTACTTAATAATTAGCCTCCAATTCTTTTGTTTGTTAGTTTTTTT